AGCAGCTTGCCTAAGGAGATCACTAAGTGTGTTGGCATTAAACATGACTGAGCTTTGAAAAACCACAACCCATGACTTGGTTGTCCTTTGAAACTGTCCTTTCAAGTACAATAATTGTGCTAAAATGTGTATTTTAAAAGTTACAATATTGGAATATCATATTTTGTCAGACACACATACCCTCTCTTCCTTCACAACTATACTGAGGACAAATATTCTAAGTTTCCTAAATATGTTTCTGTCTTTGTTGTTGTTACTAATGGGACAACTGTTAAATAAACTCCCCGCCATAGTCATCAGGACTTTTCTTCTTATAAACCATCTTCAACACAAATACAAGTAGTCAGCTTCTTGGAAAATGTGTTAAAATTAAGATAATTTGTACTTACCATGCAAAATTACATGTCCATTTAATCCTATACAAACACTTTCCTCGCAGAGGTAATTATGAAGAAACCATACTTCTCACTTACAGATCATTTTGTTTTTCAGTATCATAGAATATGCAATATGTAAAGTAACTTATTTGGCAAGTACTGTTACCTAAACCCACTTTTTTTTGTACCCAGTTAAACTGACAAGCATTTTACAGAAGCAATCTACTGTACGTAAACTGCCCACAAAACATTGCAACAGCAGGGGTCCACCTGGGGAAAGCTTTCAGACAGTGTCTGAATTGAAAAGAAACTCACCCATCTGCATTCTGCCTACTGCATTGTTCAAAGTGTAACTGGTCTCCCTGCACACTTCAGGATCTTTTTGTAACCATATTCTTTGATGGACAATATTTTCCATATGCCCCCAAGAGCCTTCAAGAAAATGGGACTTGCTGTCATTCCAACACAGGCCAGTGGGATTGCTGCTCACCAATCAGACAGATGGAGCTGATGCTCACATTTTCATACATCAAACCCTCTTGACAATTAAGTACATATTTTCAGAAACCTAAGATGAGCACCAGGAGGAGTTTTAGAAAACACAGGGACCAGGAGACAGAAAGAGTTCACAAATAATGTTTTAGCCAAACCAAAGACACTACAGATCTTCATCTCATCACACAATAATTAGACATTATTAGATTAATTAGTAAATCTTAAGGAGATTTAAGAGAAGCATTGATTCAGCTCCAGATGTATCTGATTTGTGAAGTTATGGCAGGTACCTTTGCTCTTATCAAGGAGAACAGCACTAATTCTCTGGCATTGGCAGTATTCAACATACTACAGTATCACTAGGCAAGGGTATTAATTTATCCATGCTGAGTAAATAAGGCATCATTTAATACTGTTAGGTGTTACTGTTGTACCAGTGGAGACTGATGTCTTAGAAATTTAAAAATTCTGATTTGCCTTGACACTGTCATTATATATAACAACCGTAATGGGAAGATGGGAAGACTTCACACAAATGTAGTCCAGTACATTCTCTGTCTTAAATACTGTGCATCTTTGAAAAGAATTTAAAAAAAAAACGAGGTAGAACCCTGTTCTAAAGACATTTTGGCAATAAAAATGAACAATGATTTGTCAGTTTTTGTACATTTCTGCTTGTACATCTTTGTAGAATCAAATTTCTATGTGAAACGTCAGGTCAAGGGCTGACTGACATCAGTGCTGAGGAGAGGATCATTCTGTTATTCTACAATTCATTGTCCTCCACTAAATTTTGCCGATTCTAGGTCAGGGTTTTTTCTCACTGCTTTTTCTTCATAGTGGGCTACATTTCCCTCGAAGCTATGTACAATTTTTCTTCTACAGTGTTGTAGCATGGAAGCTTTTTTTCCCAAAACAATGCTCTGGAGCTTTTTAATAGCATTAAGGACAATGGGTAGAGAGTGGGGGAAGATGGGATACTGAGTGAAGATCAACAGAATCAATGCTCTCACACTGCCACAGGTGCTGCTGTCAGACGAGAACGGAAGTGGGCTAAAAAATCATTTTGTTTTCTAATTGGAGAAATCATCAATAGATGATGGAGGAGGAGAGTGTTAGTCACAGAATTTCAAGCAACACAATCTACAGAAGGTGTGGGGGACTGTTGGTGAAACAGGTGGGCACATTTCTTTAGAAACCTACAGTTTCTGCCCGGAGGCTAATATATTATCAAAAACCCCACTAAGGAGTAAGACTGTGTGGAAATAAAAGATTGAAGATAAAGCCGGGGACCCACAATAAACCATAGCCCCAGTGCTAGCTTACACTGAGGGAGGCTACTGAAGATACTGAATGCTCTTTTCTGCAATTTGCCAAGCTTTCTCACTGTGGATTAAAGAAATGTGAGGCCACACAGTGAACACTGCTGACTTATCTTGAAACATTTTCACAAGTCTCCCGCAAGGCATTTCAAGAAGCTAGATTCACAGATGAAATTTAAAAACAACTTTTTAAGACTATTTCTAAACTGAAAAGCCCTGTAAATAAGACCAGTTAGTGGGCTACCAAAACATGCAGTAGGTTTACTTCAGTTCAGTAATATTCAAAAGAAGTGCTTTTTCACTGCTTAATAATGAAGACACAATCAAATTAATTAAAATAAAAATCAGTTAAATCAAACTCTTCAATTTGATTAATTATAAAATAATTGTTTTTCAGTCTTTATTATTTATAATGGAAAGTGTAAGCAAGCGTAGCCACATTTAATGTACAAATGGAACTGTCATCTGTGAGCTCTGTGGAAATCTGTATTTGAAAAGCGATGTGTACTGCCCCCCAGAGGTAAAAAATCATAGGATTAAGGATAGAAAAGGGCTTTAGATACTGAAGTTGAATGAATAGAGTTTCTGGTTGTCTATATATGGATAGAAGATACTATAGTTGTCCAGACATATTGGCTCTCCTCAGAAAGAAGAGGGGTACTACAGTCACAAAATTATTAGTCGCCAGAAATACAGCTTTTGAGCTTTTGAACTCATGTTCCAATATTTGACAATCAATAATAGTGTTACGGGAAATTATTCAAGTTCATTTTAAAATTAAATTGAGGGGTCCTTGAAGCGTTTAAAAAAACTATTTATTATAAGTCATTCTGTTACTGTTTATAATTCATTATGAAGACACATCAGCCACAGGAAAAAACATAATACTCAAGTTTTGTTTCTATCTATTCTTTTAATAGCCACAACAGGAATCTTTCGTGAAGATATTAAAAAAGGTCGCTAAACATACTAGTTAAATTTACACTGATTTGGAGGCATTTACTTGTAAAATGCTTTTAAGTATTTATGTATTATGTATTTTGTACCATAAATCAAGGTTCTTATCATGGTGAAGTGCAGAATCAGTAAAAAGTCCAGCGAGATGTTTAGACTTTATGGTGAAAAGTACAGTATGAGAATAATATCTTATATATTTCTTTGGCAAGACATCATTTAGCATAAAAAGTGCTAATTTTTATAAATATAAATGATTTAATAAATCTGAATTTATTAAAATGAGATTTGATAAATTAAAGAATGTCATTTCTTAGCATATGTCAGATCTGGGATTGTAAAACCACATTCTAGAGATCCCTGTGGGTACTCAGATTTTGAGATCACAGCTTTGTTTGCCACCTTTCAACAAAGACATTGCTCCTCCGGAATCAGAGGGTAAACTCTGACCTTAAACTGCACAGATTATAAAAGCACTATTATAAAACAGTTAATAGATATTTTTAGTACACGGAAATCAAAATAAAAATAACAACTGTAGTAAATTATCATTGTATTTACACATTTATTTTCATCCTTGCTGCACAGCAGAACAGAAGTAAGAGAAATGAGAGACATCTGTGCTATTGAATTAAGTGGGAAATCCAGGCTGACCTACTCTCAAAACGCTGCCATGGGAACTTTAATGGCTTAGTAGCCAGCACCTCTATTGAACATCTCATCCAGAGTACAAGGACTACAAAGGAGTGTCCTGGTCACCATACTAGGGTGTTTGTTTGGACATTCTGCAGCTCATGTGAATAATGTATCATTAAACTGGTTATTCCGTGGCAAAGTATTCCTGTTTGTTTATGCAACTTTATTGTTCACCCAAAAGGGTGGAAATTTGTTTTCAGCATCACCATAAAAAAACTATAAAAAATGAGTAACACTCGAAATGAATACACATTAAAAACAAACAATAGTCCAAGCTATCCAACAGTACATATACTTACATCTCACTCTGCCCATATTACACTACCATTATACATAATCAATAGCTCCAGACAGGAAACAGTCATTCAGCAGCATTTAATATACTGATAGCATAGGGAACAAAAGATTTCTTGTGTGCATTATTCTTGGCTACAGGTATTCTGAAACACCTCCCTGAAGCGGTTGAAAGTTGAAAATGGGAAGCAGTTGAAAATGGCAATGGAGAGGTTGGGAGGAATCATCGACGATAAACTGAGGTTTCTTTTGAGTTGCAATATTAAGCTCTTTAAGCTGTTTCTAGGGTCAACCAATTAATTTACTAGCAATATTAACAATTCTGGATGATTTCCCTTTACCCAGGCCATAAGTAAGGATGCTTTCTAATATCATTCTCTAAAATCCCTCTCTGAAACATGTGGGCTCAAACCCAAACCCTTTCAGCTTACTGATCAAAAATATACTGTTTTTAGTTTTCACAGTTGTTCATAGAAGCATTGTGAAAATGAAGTTCTGGCAGGGCTTTGTAGAAGTACATTGTTGTACATGTTGGAAGGCCCAGCATTTTAACACAGATCTAGGGCCCTCAGACAATATCTTATAATGCAATAAACGTATATGAATTTCAACATTTTATTACTGTTGCATAGCAATAATTATCCAGTCATTTGATTTATTACCAATTAATTGTGCCATTCTTCAGGTGAACATAATTTAAATCCATTGAATTAAGTAATGAAATGATGAAATTATATAATGAAAACACTTTCTTGATGATTGCTTTTTTCTTTTTTTTTACCTTATTACGCATTCTTTGCATTGGATCAATAAACACGTGCAGGGCAATCTGTGTCCAGTGTGTGGCGCAAGAGAGCCCTTGGAATAGCGGTAAACTGTGTGTGTGAATGTCTCTGGTGCCGCATGTGCGCAGTTGAAGGGACGTGAGGTGCAGAGGGGAAGCTGTAGCTTCAGGATAAACGGAAGCGGGCAGAGTGCGATTGTGATGAACATGGCGACTTCGCTAACGTGCAGGAGAAGTACTGATAGAGCCTGTTCTAAAGGCTTCATCGCGGCCGCGTTGCTGCTCATTATTTCTCTGGCACCGCAAGCGGCCTTGTGCAAGAAGAGCCATCTCCGAGTTGTCACTGACGGGAACTGGCAGGAAATTCTGGAAGGAGAGTGGATGATAGAATTGTAAGTCGGCGGACTCCTTACAAATACTACGCCGGGTGTTTATGATCTTGCCGCTCCATTCATTGGAATGCAAACCTTGTAGATTACAGGAAGAATTATGATTGTTGTTGGATGTTACGGAAATGTAACTCGTTCCTGCTTGCACACACTGTAGGCCGAGTGAATGGACGTTACTCAGTTGTCATGTGTCCAAAACAAGGACGCAAGATCAAATATACTGTATTTGTTTCTGTGTGCAGCTACAGATATTCCACAACAAAACGCAGAAAACATGAAATTAAACGTGCTGGTGGTGAATGTTAAAAATGCTTGTGAAGAATGGCTTGGAGGTTTTCCTATTTTTTTTTAGTTTCCTTTGGTCCCTAATAAATCAAGTGCGTATCGGAGACCTACTGTACAGTATGTGATTAGAACGTGCTGTACCTTTTTTTAATCCTGTACATGGTACATTTATGAAGAAAATATTTTGCCAACGGTTTAATATTATTAACTTATAATTGAGCTTTTAACGGTGTTATAAAAATAGCATGTTATCATTGATGCAACCACTTCCTCTTTAAGGGTCTGGTAATTTGTGAACTACATTTTAAGCATACCGAAGGTGACATTGCACGCATGAAATTAGCACACACGGCTATTTAAATTATAAATAAATACATTTTAAAACAATTTTAAGATTTTGATCTAATTTAAGATGCGTGTTTTTTTTAGTTTATTTTGTCTGGGTAGAAGTACGTGCTATGATGGGTTATTGTGTGCTATTTACAGAAATGTACAGTATAAACGACTTTTCTTGAAGTGTCGGATTAAAATCAGCAGTGTATCTCCATCCGGTCTAAAACGATTGAAATTTTGCCTTCTGTTTAAATATTGCTTAGTACTTTTTTATTACTTGGGGATTAAAAAGTCTCACTGTGCTTAAGAAAAAAAAGACTTGTTGGCGAGGGAAAATTTCTTTTTTTGTGTGTGTGCGAGCGAATCCCATGCCCTGGCTTGGTCTTGTGTCCCTGCAGCTTTGCCCCGTGGTGCCCAGCCTGCCAGCAGCTCCAGCCCGTGTGGAATGAGTTTGCGGAATGGGCGGAGGACATGGGGGTCAATATTGCCAAGGTGGACGTCACAGAAGAGCCAGGTGTGTCTGACTGCCCCCCAGTTCTGTCATCTCGCCGACAGCGCTGCTGGGACGCGCTGCGGGGCTCTGTGCCTCCGCTGGAAGACCTGCCGCCCCACCTCCCCCTCCGTTGTCCTGATCGCATGCGTGTATTGAGTGTGGTTTTCACCGTATGAATCCAATGTGCCGGCATGTAGCACAGTTTGTAAATGAATCAGACTTGCCATTGCAGGGCTCGTGGATATTTATAGACAACAGAAAGACACTTCCTCGAGTCGTGAATTGTGACAAAGCTTGCTTAAGATGTAGAGGCTGGTGGTAGAGATGCTATCTCAGTTTGCCGCTCCTGTTTAAACCCAAGCTCCATCCAGTTTCTTAGGAGAATCCTTCACACACCCACAGAACTGTAGCAGCGAGGCAGTGTAGGTATCAGTGACTATGTTGTTCTGGTCAGATTATTGCCTTGAATGACTTATTGTGCCATGAGAACTTACATTCTGTCACCTACCCTGTGTTTTTTGCAGGTCTGAGTGGTCGCTTCATTATCACGGCTCTTCCAACAATCTACCAGTGAGTTCTCCTGTCTGTTCTTTAGTCTGTTCAGTCAACTCTGTGATTATTATTTTTTTTTTAATGCAGAACAGCCTCAGAGTTTAGTTCTATACATAGAATACCTTATCTGCAGCCTGGTTGTCAGTTGTGTTAGTATCATAATAAATATTGCTTTCAATAATAGTCCTGCTAATTAAAATAGAAAAGGCTTCATGGAGGGTCACTCTTGTCTTATTGCATGTTAATGATTGGGGTACTCTGACTGTAAAATGAACATGTCCTCACTCAATATTAGTCTGTCCTGGTTGCTTGTTGCTGCAGAAGCAATATATTTAGTGTTGTAATGCCAAGTGAGCAGTGAGAGAACAGCGATAGTTCCCCTTGCAGAGGAAAGAAAATTTGATGCATTGCTCATGTGATGGAGATATTTTCTCACGTGGAAGCACTTTGTAAAATGTAGCAGGGAAGCATTCGGTAAGGCAGAGAAATGTCTCCCCTGGCTCTGTGATTTGAGCACGTTGGTCCCAAAATGCGAGACGGCATTTCTCTTTGAGCTCCGTCTTCTATCAGTAATGCTGAAGAAGATGTTTCTTATTTGCACAGCCAGGTAGCAAAAAGAAGTGGAACCGTATTTCTAATGTGTGTTCTCTCAGCGGCTTAAATTAAATGTCCTGCAGAAATTAAATAAAGGACAAAACAACAGCCACTAATTAAAATGCTGCCTTGATAGCCGGTATTAAAGAATTATTTTGTGAATGAGTGATGAAGAAACGAGGTGATTCATGTCTAAATGTTAAATACCAATACATATACAGATTGCATTGTACCTGTGCTTTAATGTTCCCAGCCTATGATTTAACGTATTCTTCAGGAAACACCTTCAGTTATGACCTTATTATGCTGTTGTTATTCTGTCTTTTTTGTATTCCAAAAGAATTCAGAAGAGTATTTTTATTCTACTGGTAGAGTATAGTAAAAGCTATATGCTCTTCAATAAAATCAGAAAGTAGCAGTGAGATAATGATGGTTCCTGCACTTGAGATATTTGACAAGAAAACTACCATGCTGCTGTGATTAATTCAGGGCATGCAGCATCGAGGAAAATTTTGTTTGTAGATGGTTATCTTTCATCCCTATGAGCTTCCTGCAGAATAGTTTTTAAAATGGTTATCCTGCACTGTCCAAGCTGCGTGGTAGCTCTGATCATTCATGGTGCCCTACCCTTTTTGTGCTGGAATGGAACATACTATACCACAGACCACTATTTAAGGAAAATGAAAGTGGTATAACTTCCTTTGGTGTCCTAACATGACTGGGCTTTCGCTTTACGTTAAAGCAATTGAGATGACATTTAAAGGAAGCTCATTGTTATTGGTTAGCCCTGTATTGTCAACACACTTATCAGAGGGACAGCTTGACACTCGTGTTCAGATGCGTATCGTCTGAGGCTGCCTCAGCTTGAGTAGCTCATCAGCCCAGTCATCACCGTGATGACTTGAGAGTAAGGGCAACTGGCATACTGACCCAATTCTAGCAAAAATGCACATAAAGAAGTTCTAAATACATCTTACACTTAATCCTCTATTATAATTATGAATTACTACATGTAACTACGTGGTACCTTTTTACGTTTGCTCTGTAGTATAGATAAATAGGAATGTATTTTGCTGCAGAAGAATGCTGTTAGAATAAATGCAGTATGAACTCTGCCAGGACTTTGTCTGACATAGTTCTCGGTTTTCTAAAGCCTTCATGCATGAGAGTTCTGAGAGGCTACAATCCAGAACTGTACATGTAGATACGTTAGTTAAAAATGGCAGTGTGTTGTTAATAGTGTCTTTATAACCTTTCCCCTCCTTTTGAGACACTCGGTCTTCATTTTATCCTTGCACAGTTTCAACCGGCACCCCCTGGATAGAAGAGCTGCAGTGAAGGCACCACTCAGTACACTTGCCTCCTGGGTCATTTGGCCTGAACAAGAGCCGCAGCGGGTGTGAAGGATAGTTTTCACGTAGTCAGACCCCAGACCTAATGAATAAATGAAACGTATTGAGAAAATGAACCATTAGGAGCAGAATGTTAGGAAATACTGCATAGTTGAAAGGATAAGATTTAAGTCAAGGGCTGCTATGTTACATTGTGCATTGCACTCGTAAGACTACGTGTAGAATAGTTCGTATGGTTTTGGAGGAGATCCTTCTCATGTAGCTGGTAAAACCTGAATGAGCTAGGTGGACTGAGTGGCCTTCTTGTGTTTGCAAAAGTAAGAACAGATATACTAATGTTCCATGCTTCAGCTGTAAAGATGGAGTATTTCGGAGGTACCAAGGTGCCAGGACGAAAGACGACTTCTTGAGCTTCGTTGACGAGAAGAAATGGCAGGACATTGAGCCTGTTTCTTCCTGGTTTGGACCTTCTTCCTTCCTGTGAGTATGCCTCGTGGAGCTGCTTTCTGTCTGTCAGATTCGCCCACGTGTTGTGGGTTCCAGTCCTGGGTGCGGCACTGCTATTGTAGCTTTGAGCCGGGTACTTTCCTCAGATTTCTTCAGTCAGCTGCCCAGCCTTCTTGATTCTGGAATCGTTTTGGACAAAACCAGCAACCAACTTCCTAATAATGTTGAAAGCCTCCAGTTCCACATGTTGATGCAAAAAACTGCGCCATAAACTCGGAATAACCAGGATTGTTAATATTCGTCAGTCGCACTTAGGGTAATGCTCCGAAAATGAGTTGGGAGTTATAGTTTTTAAAGCGTTATTCATGTCATCCTTCTTTTACATTTTTTCTTTAGTGTTGTATATTATGTACATTCTGTGTAACTGTTTTCTTTGTATGTGCTTAGATTTTTGTTTCCCCTGCTAGCTTAATATTCCAACTTCAGGAACTTAAGAAAAGGCATCTTGGCAATAACTGAGAGGAAGAAATGGTAGTGTTACACCACAGTGCTGGAGCGATGGGAAAAACAGTCTGGTGTTTCATTTATTTTCTTCCTCTATGCACATTAAGAACAGTTATTTTTGACAGGATCTGTAAGGAATAGTACAGCAAAAGAAGCTAGATATCCAGAAAAAGACAATGCTGTAATTTTATGCATTTAAATCAGTGATTTTCAGGGTTTCTTCCCATTTATCCATTTAAGTTTGGATCAATACAAATGTTTTGAATTGGCTTACTTTAAGCACGCTGTTGAATGTTAAATTCTAATATTTAGAATGATTTTTTACAGGATGAACACAATGTCAGCTCTCTTCAAACTCTCAATGTTCATACGGGTAAGCTGCAATATTATAGCTGACCTTTTCATTTAATTTCTTGCCATATATCTACAGTATTTTAACACGCTATTTTTAAGCTGTCTTATGTCACATGAAGATAATTTGTATCTTTCTTTTAGTTAATTTTCATTAGTATTTCATAGCAACATAAAAACAGTGAACACAGAGAGGAGAATTACAAGTAGTAAAAGAAAGTAGTTTAATTAACCCCTGGCTATAACATAAAAAATATGCTTTAAATTAATTAAATTTGTCTCTTCAAAAAACTATTTTTTGCCTCCAAGCACATATTTACACCAAACTAAATTATTATAGTTGAACTAGAAAGCTTCAGAATAAATCTTTTCCACAGGCTTAGCATCGCAGTCTGTTTCTTGCCAATTCTTTATGTTCCTATTTTCCAGGATTTAAGTACTGTATAAATGGGTGTTTCTTTTTTAATTCGCAAAGTTCCGTCATGTTTTTCCAGATACATTTGTAAATCCATTTCTCCCATTTCCACCATTCTGTAAGTTGGGAGTGATTTGTTTCCACTGTTCTCACCTACAGTCTTTTCATTTCTTCACAGCATTGCCATAACTACATTACAGAGCAAATTGGAATTCCAGTATGGGGATCCTATGCAATCTTTGCACTTGCGACTCTCTTCTCAGGTCTTGTTTTAGGACTGGTAAGCAGAAATTGATTTGCCTTTTGTATTGCACTTTTGTCTTGATACTGGGAACGGCTTTTATGTTCTTATTACAGCTATTGTTAGTCTTTTTCTAGTCTGAATATCACAAAATGTTCTGCCCAAGTATCCCAATGGCTCTTGTATCAATAACTGAGTTTTTTTTAAAATAAAATTACGTATGAAAGGGAATGTGTACCTTGTAGAACAGACTTGATAAATCTTCAGATTTTAGACTTGAATCATAAAGGTCTGTCCTGGAGGAAGCAGGAAACTTGGCGAAGCTGGATTCTTGTGTGTTGCTGAGCAAGTTAAGGGATCAGCTACTCCTGAGCATTGACTGTTAGAAAAATAGGTTTGTTTCTCATGCAAAGGGAAATAAAAAGCTCGCAAGCTGTCACTCTTAGTTGTCCATTTTATTCTTTCAAGTGTCTCCGTTTCTTCATGACGCGTTATTCCGGTTAATCCTGACTTTGTGTTGTTTGTAGATCTTGGTGTTCATCGCTGACTGCGTCTTCCCATCCCGCCGATTTGCCCCGCCGGGTCATTACCAAAGTAAGAGCCTCGGGGTAGTTGCCAGCTCTGGCGTGAGTCAACAGAGGGAGCAATAGTTGTAGTATAACTGCAGTATGCCAGTGGTCTGCAGTACAGTACTGTTTGTTCTGACAGTACCTCTGACTATATACAGTAGCAGTGCAAATCGCCTTCCTTTCCCAATCTTTCTCAATTACTGCTTTCATCGAGGTTAGAAAAGCTCTGATTTGTTTTCATTGATGAAATCGAACTATTGAACTCTGCTTTTTTATTGCTTCAAATCTTTTGTATTAATACATCACATAAAAATGGGTTGCTTCAAGAATCATAATTTTATGTAGTTACTGTGGCATTTATTCTTTGCACTTAAAGGTAGAATTACCAATATAATATTTTTCTTTGAATCTTTGCGTTTTGCCCGCAAAAAGGCAGTTGGGAATCTCTTGATGTTGTGAATTTATAGGTAATGGAGAGTTGAGGAGCAGCTGGCTTCTTGGGATTTTCCATTTTTGCAGAAGGCAAGGGGACTCAAGTCCGCAGTTCATTTAGCAAGAAGCAATGCTGAGTTTGTCTGCGGGGGGGGGTGATATCTGTTTTTCAGAGAAGCAGGCTCTGGAGCAGGCTCGCCTGATAAAGAGGCTGGAGGATGAGCAGGAGGCGGACGGGGAGGAGGAGGATGAAGATGAGTGCGAGGAAGAGCGGGGGCGGGAGGTGTGGAGGAAGAATCATCATGGTGGGCACCAGGAGGTGGAGGACTGGGAGGGGCAGAGCCAGGAGGACCTGCTGCCAAGGAGAGAGAGACTGGAGGCAGAGGAGGAGAGTTCTCACGAAGCCCTTCGCAGGAGAATGCCTGCAGCCCAGGAGGAGGACACCTAAGTGGGAGGAAGGGAACTGCACACACCCCGAGCAGTGGACAGTGCTTCTCACTGTCCCCTGGGTGAGAAGTGGCCCGCGCATCTGAAGACAACACAACTGGCTGCTCCTGACTGCAGCTTGTACATCTCTCTGCTAGGAGTGAGCTGACATTTAAAATTGGAAAGTTTCTTTAATTGAAGCATGGTATATTACAAGTATTTATAAGCTGTTCATTTTAAAAATGGAGGTTTACGTAGACTTCTATAAGGTATTTGCTTTAGCAATCCTTTAGAATTTGGTTTTGCTCATTTATATTTAAATTTCCACTGTAGTCTCCCTAAGATTCCTTTTCTTCCCTGTTGTTGGACTACAGTCTGGTTGTGTCGGTGTCACAGACCCTCTACAAGACCCTTTACAAGGTTGTAAAGGAGATGTTTTTTTTTTTTTAGGATTTTGAATGGGGGAATTAAGGATGCACTTAAGCTTGCTTTTCTTCAGTTTGACTTTATTTGACCCCCTCTATACTTGCACTCCTTAAAAAAGTTCACTAGTGGATTCATTATGAATCATTACGTCTTAGCTTTCCTTGAAGTGCTCCTGTTTTTTACAGCTGAGTCACAGATCTTGGTGTTAATAGTCATTCTTAGGATTCGGGTATTTTCATCAATATGTGTCAGGCTGTTTAAAAATGATGCCTTTGAAACGGTGTTGATACCTCTCAAAATACATTCACCACCCCTCATTTTGTACAGGAGGAAAATAAGGAATTTCAATCAAGTGCTTGACAATGTAAAGAGAAATGACAAAACAAGAGGTACACCAGGAGCATTGTAACCGTCAAGGCAAGTTTTGCCCAGTTCCATGCAGTGTAAAATATGGAGGAATATTTAAAACTGCTTGACATAATATTTTTGCAAACGAATAGTATTACTTGGGTGTATTATCTGATCTGACAGATACATTTCAATGTGGTACTTTATCTGTTGATTTGAAGATGGTATTTAGGTTCAATTAGAATTGAGAAACCTTTCTCGTAGTTCTTGTCGAGGTACGCATTTGACTGTTTTTGATATGAGAATGAAAACGGATTAGTAATGAGGGAAGTGGCTTTTGGGAAAATTAGCCATAAAAAATGCATAAATGTCTTAAGGGTAAATGTGTTACTTTTGCTGGGACTTACGAGAACGTGTAACAACAGTTTGTTCATGAACCAAGACAAGTTCTTCATTATACATACACTCCTGTCGTTCCTGTTTTAATAAGAAACTTTCTGTAACATACAGTACCTGAATTTGAACTCGTAAGTAAAAATGTGAGCAAAAAACAAAATGATTGCAAATGGCAGCTTTGTATATTTCTTTTTAGGTTCTGTAATGGAGAAGCAGGTCTAAAACAATATGCAGAACAGTAGAACCTACATTTACATATCGTGTTGCATTTTGAAGTTTTGAAATTTTAGACTACGTAAAAGAGAACTGTAAGGAGAGTTTTCATATGTAAAGCATCAGAATTTCCCAGTAAGTAGTAACATGAACCTGTATGCAAAACTGCTGCTATAAATGTAGCTTACATGAACAAGAAAAATTGACTTAAGAACAGTTATTGCTTGTAGTATGAATTGGTTTTCATGCCAGTATGGAATCATCTCTTTTTCTGGTTTGCTTTCATTCCTTAAAAAGGCGAATCTGTACAGTACTTTTATCTTTTTATTTTATTTGGGTTCAGTTTGCAGCATTGTTTTACAGTCAATACTTGACCTTGTCTTCTGCTCCCATGTAGAATTCAGTGAGTACAGATCCTGGCTCAGCACCATCTGAACATTCAAATGAATGCTAGGCTTACAAATGACATGCTGCTCCTTCTTCCACAGCCTGGACACCGTATTTAATACTATACTCTCTTTAACAGTGACAATCTTCCACCTACTTTATGATGTGACTGTTCTTTAAACCCAGCTGTATTTTATTGGATGCTGTCTCTCTGCCTAAGAAAATGCAGAAGCTGCACAAATTGCTTCTATCTATAGCTCGCACAGTGCATTCTGGGCCAGGTTCACTGCCAATGCTCTGCATTAGCACCAGTATTTCTTACGCGTCAAAACAGTTGTTTGATTGCAGAACAATCCACAGAGGACTCAGTGTTACATTTATGCCAAAAGGTATGTTGGGGCTGCTTTGCCCAAGTAAAATAATACCCACCTGAGTATGATTTCTAAATACAGTTTGAAATATGCTCCTGGTTAGCAAGGGGAATATTGAACATGAAAACTGAACAAGCCAGGACAGTTCTCAGTTGTGTAATAGAGTTTATCTGCACTGGTTGCTCAAATTCTTAGGCAACCAGTGAGGGCCTTCAGTGGCACAGAGTAGATTATTTAGAATTATTAAAGAAATATAGTTATAAAAACTATTACCACTGCCAAGCCCAATTGCCCAATGTTCTGTTTTAAAGTTTTTTGTAAAACTGGCCTGTACAATACACGTGTGAGAGCCTTATTGTTTTTTGGATTCACTGAAGCTCAGGAAATGCTCCTAGGCTCAGAAAGTTTGCTTTTACCTCACAGCTGAGGTTTAAAGTAACAAGGAGTAAAAGACTGCTGAATTCACACCTTACAGTAAGGACAAAAATGTATAAATAAAAAATACAAAGTTTCTTCCAGTAAGCCAAATCATTTAATTTGTCCTAAAACTGCTTTATATGTGTCCGGCAAAATCTGCACAATATAGATTTTGTATTTTTGCTTTGCATTTGTATTGTAGTACTTCAACCTTACCAGCAGAGGGTGCAACTCAACTTCTTTATCAGTCATAAATTTATTATTCTATTGACGTCTTGGCAATGGGTTTTGAAACAACCTAAGCATACATTAAGTGGAACATTGAAATATATTTTTTTGTTATTTTATACGATTTAGATATAAAATCATTATTATAGTTCTTAACCATAGTGTAAACAGTACACAAGGTGGTTATACAATACTAATAAACAACCCTTTTTTTGATTTATCAGAATATTCTAAAAGGATGATTCTTGTTTTACTTTTTCTCCAAAGGCAATATAAAGTTGATTGTTTTATGAGATTTGTGCAAATAATACATGCTGTAATGCAGCAATGACCCATACCTTCAGCATGTACACAAGTACAAACTTGTGCTGCGTGTACAACCTTAGACCTTATTGAGTTCTGGAAAGACCCGTCTTGCATAAAAATAAGTAGTGATCCTATCAACCACATGTGATGATCCCAAAATAGGATTATCAGCCACTGTAGAAGTTGCAGCTGAAGTTCGAAAAGATTTAGACTGGGGAAACACCTGGTATTATATTTGATGTAGAGAAGTACAGAATGTTAGATAAATGTACAAAAACATAATTCAAAATGAGAAACCGAGCTTAAAGATGTTTTACATGGAAAAGATTTGTGTATTTACAGTATGCTGACACATTTACATCTTCTAGATGATGTGAACATGCAAAAAAAAAAAGGAAAACTAAATTAAAGCATCTGGTAAAAAGCATGGAAGATGAATTTGAAGGGTGTTGTGTTAAATTGTACAATGCACTACTAAGACCTCATTTAGAATATTGTTTAGAATTTTGGACATTCTAAAAAAAGATATTCCTGCTCTGGAATTGATCCATACATGAGTGACCAGATACATTCCCATATATAAAGGAATGACCTACAGTATGTGGACGAGCACTAACAGTAACTCTTTTGTCTGGAACAGAGAAGAATGCAAGAGGACCTGATAAAACTATTCAAAGTCGATGCCAAAATCCAATGGGCTTCTTTAGAGTCAACAGTGAAACTACTCAAAAGAACATTTAAAAGCATTTGAAACTGAGAACAGAAGGCACATTTTTACATAATGATTTGTGAGAATATGGAACAAGCTCCATAGCTAAGTTGTTGAATATGATCAATTTGTTTTGTTCAGGAAAAAGCAGAATGAGTCCGCTCTCCTTAATTAAATAATATCAACAATAGGGCTACATGGGCTGAATTGCCCCTCTTCTCATTGTGACCTTATGAGTGTATGATTTTTTGTTCTTATGCTATGACTAGATCTGCAAACAGATGCACTATAGTGTATGCCCACAGAGTGCCCAGGAGGCAGGCAGAAAAGTGTAGCAGCAGAGGAGCTGAAAATCTTGACAAATAACTAATTGCAGTGAGCACAGTTCCCCGCAGGTTGTAATTAAACCTTATTTTTAACTTGTTTAACGAGGAAGGAGGTTGCCCTGTATTTCTAGCTGCTGCTGCTCAAGTTAATTTCCAGAGATACTGTAAATCCCTGGAGGCATTTGGTTCTCTTCAAGAGAAACACATTTCTGCCATCGACTTGGGTTATGTGTCATCTGTTGTGAAGGAATCCACTTCTACTCGGGTATGATCATTTTGCATAACACAACTTCGTTTTCAAAGCAGAATAATGACATATAATCAGAATATTGGGGGAAAAAGCACCCTTGTCTGATGCTCCAAACTTTTGTTCTGGGATGAACAGGTAGTTTAGCTTTAATTATAACCATAGCAAAATTCCAAAGCCATGGTAATGTCATTGCATGGATTCAAGCTTAAAAATATATTATGCATTAAGTATTAAGATACAATATTCTTGGTCATAATTTTTTGAACAAAATGTACATTTCTGTGTGCCAGTAGAATGCTTTATCATGAGCATCACTCTGAGGTGATGCTGTATGTATTATACTATGTCATGTGAAAAGCTGTCATCACATTTATCTTAAACAATTTACAGTTTGTCTTTAAATACCCACTTATTTTAATATTTGTACGCTCACGTTTGACAACTTGAGCTTACTGTCTTCTCAGCTTAACATTAGCCCACGAAAAGTAAAGATCACAGTAATGTATCCAAGGTGTACCTGTCATGCCTGAGCAGGTGGGAGCTCACAGCCCTCAGCTGCCCCGGAAACCAGTAACATTCCCACTGAAAATCTTGACCACATTTTTCCAGGAGGCTACCAGAAAACACTCAAGATCTTTATCAGTGTCCCTGTCATCCAATTAACAGGTGATTTTCCAATCTAGTTCTCCCTATTTATACGCTGTTACGCCACTGGATCGGTGCTCTGACATTGAGGTACTCCCAGCAGTGCTAATCACAGTACTAAGTTGAGAGACATATCCTCAAACTTGAAACCTTAAGCCCGGAGACATCCAATTCAGCCTCATTCCCATTCTTTCTTCCATCCATTCATCTGCAGTGCAGTCTTCCGCCTGTCCCTGCCCTACAAACTGTTTACCTCCCACACAATTCCATTCCTGTCTGCCATTAAGTTGTACAACTGTCTCCTGTGAGTTCTGCTAGCTGCCGAAGATCGTGGAGTCCCTGCATATGGATTCCTGCCTGTCAGTAAACCATGGCTGTCAGCTTCAGATAGCCACAGTGTAACATTCCTAGCTCTGTAGATATGCTAGGACCTGGGAGTGAAATCTTCCCAAAGATCACAAGACAATTATGTTAATTTTTTCCTAAGAAGGTAAGAGAATCACCCACCCCCATCTCCACTGTTTGCAAGTTCATTTTGAGGATCTCTAGACTTCCACAGCGTGGAAAACAGTCTTAGGTTAAAAGTTGCAAGGATATGGAGTGTAGGATTTAATAATTTTAAGACCTTTGAAAAAACAATTTGTCTGCTTTCTTGTTTCAAAATGCTCCCCTTCTAGTTTTTATGGAGAAACATTGAAAGTATCAAAATAATCTCTATATAAGTTCAGGTTTTTGTACGCTCAGGTGGGTAGCTGCGTCAGCATACATAGGCTGGAAAGGAACAAGTAATAGGTTTATTCCATACTGAAAAAAAAGAAAGAAAACGCAACGTTTCGGCCGTGGAGCCTTCTTCAGGTGCCAGGTGGGTAGCTGCGTCAGCATGCGTAGGTTGCAAAGGAACAAGTAATAGGTTTATTCCATGCTGAAAAAAAGAAGAATGAAAACACGTTTCGGCCGTGCAGCCTTCTTTAGGCCTGAAGAAGGCTCCGTGGCTGAAACGTTTTCTTTCTTTTTTTCAGCATGGAATAAACTTATTGTTCCTAATCTCTCTATATCTCAATGAATTAGATCTTAAATTAAGAGCTCAGAGACTGGGTTACAAATTTAATCACGCCAGTTCATCCTTAGTGAAGGTTGCATGTGCTAGTAGACTAATAATCCATTTTCAAAATGACAAAAAAAACTTTTATCGGTTTTAAACAGCTACATGTAATGGTTTAGGTCCAATAATAATTATGTATTTTAGGTATAATATGATTTAAAAAGTAAAAATGTAGGTACAGTATATATGAAAAATGTTTTTTCTTCTGATTTGAGAAGCAAATATACAAACCTCACCACCTGAAACAGACAACTGGAAGGGAAGGGTTTTTTATGTCCAAGAATATATTTTCTGCTTGTCCTACATTGATTCAGCAGGTGAAACATTTCAGTGCCGTTTTTCCCTTCTTCATATTCCTTCTCATGTTTTATTTTCCTCTTCTGAACAGTTAGCCCATTCCAACTTGTTACCGCATAACATATTTCCACGGATTTGTTCTAGAACCCAAAACTCATAAAGACAAACACACATATTCAGAAAGGCCTCTGTCCATTTATGTCATCTGGCTTGATGCCAAAAGTTTGTCCAAACCACAGGAATTCAATGGAAAACACTCCTAGTTCAATGAAACACAATTGTTATTGATTTCAAGTTATTAACTTTGGGTGCGTTTACTGGAGCTTGTGCCACTAAAAGGAGCTCTCCTTAATAGTTGCATCACATTTAGCAATACCCCTGCACTATTTTCCAGGATCAGAGCAACTCAAGAGAAATTGTTCTTTTCATCAGCAGATTTTACACCCATCCATTCTACAGTTGTATGTTTAGCATACAGAAGATCCTTTAAAACTATCTTCATCATTCAACTCATTCTTTCCGTCTCCCATGGGAACTGAATCGCATTTATTCAGGAAACTCAAAGGGGACTATGAGCTGCTGTGGGAGTCAGGCATGTCTGAGCCCCACGACCTGCACAACTTGAACTTCATTTAATTGGCTCAACTACTGTATGTTTAGAGATCTGACCCATGAGCTTTTCTCCCATGTGCCAGCTGCTTGTGCAGGAACTGACTTTTATAACAATAGGATGGCTGAGGGTGTAGAGAGAAACCTTAAAATAGTTGTTTTACCTGACAGAAGAAAGAGGTGTTCCCCTTCTGGCAAAAAGGCCTGATTGTCAATTTCAAATGTGATAATACTTTATCTGTGCGAAAACCTCTTACTACCTCTGTGGGGTTTCTATTCATCAATCCATTGTCCATAGCAGCTTCATCCTCTACACTAGAGGATCCCAGTAACCTGGAGCCTAGCCTGGCTGACACAGGGCTCAAGAAAGAAAAAACAGATTATAGTATCATTGCCTACACTGTAAAGATTTGGCCTGGACACGAAGCTCAAGAGACTGACGGTCTCTTTCCTCACCTCTGTGAAAGCTTAGAGTTAAGGTCGGAGGTTACAATGTGATTTTAAACATTCACGTTTGTCAATAGAGTAGAAGGGCTGGTCTTGGCACCACACGGTTCTCTGTTGCAAATGTGTAAGCTGTAATCGGGGTCCTCGTGAATGGGAACATTGTGCTGCTTATTTTGTGGACTTTTGTGTACTGTTTGTGTACAGTATAGGCTGAACAGTTTATTGTAAATTATGGGTTTCATTTTACCTCATGATTCCTTGTTGTAACCAAAGAGGAGGAAAGAGGTCATTTTCTAATTTCTATCAAGAAAACAACAGAAAAGCAAAACTAAAGCTTCTATTTAAAGTTATAAAGAAGCCAATGGATGCTGAAGGAGCCTAAACATAGCACAAACACAAAACAATCTAGTCGGACGTCTAAGATCTAATTCGCCTTTAAGTAAGATACAATTTTACTCTTTTAAAGATGTGAGCTCTAGAGTAATGTTCTCTCCAGATTTTCTTTAACAAAATACTACCTTTTAAAATT